CCGCAAGGCGATTATTAACTACAGCAAATACAGGCATGCAGCCACCATTGAAACGGAGGCTGCTCTGAAGGCATCGCGAATTTGCATAGAACAGAATCGTCCGCTGGATGTGGCCATGTTCCTGCAAAATATCCTGTACATTAACTTGAGCATGAGCGAAGCGGAACGTGTAAAGCGGTTCGAGATTATTACGGAGCTCTACCAGCAGATTGGCTATCAAAGGAAGGCGGCATTTTTCCAACGACTCGCTGCTTTGAAGCACGTGCAGCAGGGCAGCCAGGCGCCGGACTGGAATCAAAGCTATCGCCTCATGTTGGGCAGCTTTACGGGCTATCTGCTTTGCCTGGATCCGTTGGAGGTGCTCGAGAATGCAGCCGGCTGGCCGGCTTTGCAGATCGATCTGGTCCAGACCCTCATAACGGCCGCCAGGCGATTGGGACACTCGGCTCTGGCCACGCGGCATATGACCTTCCTGCTGCAAACGCAATGGGACAACATGTCGCCAACGGAGCAAAGCGAAATGGCTGTGCAACTGCAGGTTATTTTAGTCAATCAAAATAAGAGAATAACCTGTAATTAATTAATGATTATTTCTTGCAGAATTTAAGCGCCCAGTGCGAGGGTTCACCTGTCCCTTTGGTTCTAGAAAATGGCACTGTGATACCACCCGCCAATCTTACGGATCTGCCCTTCTGCCTGGATCTTCAGGTTAAGGATTTGCCCGCTCATCTACGACCGCAGAGAATAAAGGTGGCCAAGGCGGATAGTGGGCCATTTCTGTTTACCCCCATACACTTTAATTCGGTCGACAGGAGGGACAAGAAAAAGGACAAAAATAAAATAGGTAAGCTGGTACGATATATTCGGCATACTCCTTACTAATTTACATATTTTTTAGCTTTCCAGTGGGTGCAAAACGATCTTAGTGAGGTGACTGTGCGTCTGCGCAATCCTCTGCCCTTTGAGCTGGCCGTAACGGACATGAGACTGCTGACGAACGGCGTGGTTTTTGAGTCACTGCCCCAGACAATTGTTCTCCAGCCACATGTGCCCACATATGTGGCACTCCATGGCACGCCCATCGAGACGGGGCAGCTAGATCTGCAGGGCTACAGCACGCACACGCTGGGCGTGAAGTCCAACTGCCGGCTGAAGCATATGCGTGGGCGCAGTTTTCCGCCTAATTACCTAGTGGATGTGATCCCCGCTCTTCCTAGGATATCCGTTAAAACTTCGCTGCCCCAAACAGCGACATTTAGCAACATGAACAGTGCGGATATCGTAGTGACCTCCGCCAGCCTGACCCTGTACAATGGAGAATCCTCCAGCTGCACGATTACAATCACTAATGAGAGCGCCACGCTACCGTTGGAGCACCTGGAGGTCAGCATCAACTCGAATGTGGAGCAGGAGCTGCAGAAAAAGATCTTCCGAATAGATGAGGAAGCTTTAAAGGTGAGATATGAGTTGTAATAGAGAATAAATAAAATAACTTTAAATAACTAATTACAGGCCAAGCTGCCAGTGCCTCCGCAGGGCTCCATAGAAATTATATTGGATGTTTATGCCGAAGCGGACTTTGTTTGTCCTCAGCCACCGGCTTCGGTGCATTCCAGCGCTGCTACCGGGGATTATGGAGCGGCGTCCCTTACGAACTACTCCGGGCACGCTAGCTTACCCTCGAGAGTTGGTTCGCCGCAACATCGCCGCCACGAGCCGCAGAACTCCAGTTTCCGATCGACCTTCTCGGGCGGTCAACCGTCGCTGGCTGCCCTGAGTTTGCAGCCAGGCGGAGGAGCAGGACCCTCCAGCCTGGGCTCACAATATTCGCAGCACATTGAGGCACAAGTGCGATTAAAGTACTCCGGGGGAGAAGCTCTGGCGGCGGGCTACTGCCGCCAGTGTGCGGTGTCTTTTAACCTAGAATTGCTGCCCAGCGCGCAGATAACTAGCTGGGATGTCCTGCCAGCTGAGGTGTAAGTTACAAACTTATTGATTTTAATAGGATTTATTTCATATTTTTAAATGTTAAATCTACAGAGCCTCCCAATTTTACCTGGTACTTGACATTTCCAACCTGACCGCTCAAGAGATGTCGCTCAACTATACAGACACCAAGAATATACTCATCGAGGCCAAAGAGAGCTGCCGGGTGCCCATACCGGTGGATCGTTGCTCCCTGGAGCAAGTGGTAGCCGCCCGGGCAGCCGAGGTGGCTGAGAATCTGGAGAGGGGTACGTACGCCAATTTACTAGCAATGCGAGGTCATTCATTAATAATGATTCTCTGTCAATTAGAACTCTGCTTTCGGACGCAGCTTCTGTCGTTTAATGATGCCCTCAGCAAGCTCTGTTCAATTCACATAGCTGAGAGGGTGAAAATCAACTGGCTGTTGACGGGAACGGACATCCAGGGAATCGCCTCCCTGCGGGGGATAGTTCTCTCGCAGTCCATGGTGGATTTGACAGCGGTATCGCCTTTGGAGTGGGGTAATATTTTATTTTAATTAATTTTAATTTTCTTTATCGATTTATTAATGATAATTTCAATTTTAGCCATTAGCTTTCGGGAGATCCCCGTGCAGCCGCACAGTGAGATTGTGTGCACAGTGGGCCAGCGTTCGCATCTTAGCATCCAGCTGGCAAATCAATCCCTGCAGCCGCTCAGAAACTTGGTGCTGAGCATCAAGTTCTATCAAGATTACCTGAACGGTATGGAGAATTACAATTTGGAGACACGCGTGGCCATCTCAGGACCAAATAGGTGAGAATCATAACTATTAAAATTCGATTTTAGTTAAATACTTACAATATTTTAAAATCTTAGAATTGCAATTCCCCTACTGGAGAAGCAGGAGCAGAAACAGCACACTTGCTCTGTGATATTCTTTACGCCCGGACGCTTTAAGGCCAGCATCGAGTGTACCAGTAATCCGCAGAAGCAATCGGAGCAGCCGGCATCGCTGCTAACACGTTCCTGTCCGGCGGAAAGCGAGAATGTCGGTCCTTCGGTCATGTTCTCCTCCAGCTACGATGAGCAGCAGGTGCATGTGTGGAAATTCATTCCACCCATAGAGGTGACCGTCGTGGAGCAGTGAAATGTTAATTATCGCTAGTTTAATTTCGTTATAATGTTTGTGTATGTACTGTGTATACACCGAATCTACCCTCTCCCGTTAAATAGTTTGATTACCCGCTCTGTTATACCCGAAAATACGAAAAGCAATTGTTTGTAAAGAATTCTAAACTAGATACAAAAATATAACGCATAACACTGTATATAATTAAGCTCAAAACATACTGTATCCTAAGCTTGATAGAGAAAATGGCCATAACATAAATCTTATAGAACCTATATAGTCCATGCCTGTAAAACATATGCTTAACATATTTAAACAAGCGTTACGCCGTGGTGTATTTATATAGATAGCTAATGTTCCGCGCACTAAAAGCCACGCCAAGCATTATACATTTTGATAACAAACTCGTATTTACAAAATATTTTTATACAATTACTGGGGCAATACACATGTATCATTATGAACTACAAATTAAGATTGTTGCTAAAGAAATTATGCCAATGAAATGTGTGAGTAACTGTAGTGTAAACGCAATAAAATCTATTTGACGAAAAACATGGAATTTGGTCTCCACTTCTCCTCAGCCGAGTCTTCGTATCTCGTCCATGGTGAATCCGTTGCGATTGAGCAAAATGCAGGAGAGCACGTACACGTAGTAGCTGCCCGGTATGAAAGTCAGTGCCCCGATAATGCCGAGCGCCCACACGCGATCCGATCGCTCCCGGCTCGTATCGGTCACCCAGTTGAGAGTGGCGAAGGCGATGCAGATCTGAAAATAAAGAGAGATGTGCGTGAGGGGGTATATAAATGTTTAACTCTTAAATATAGGTAAGATATACACGGAGAAAAAAAACGGGAAAACATGAAACTGATATTGTTTCATATCAATTTTTCCATAACAAAATGGTATGATTTCATATGTTCGAAAATATCATTTTGATATGAACAGTGTTCATTGAACACAAATGGGACCAAAATTGATATGAAAAAATACCCGATTGATGACTATTTTTGATCTTTTTTTTTTTCTGTGTATAAATAGATGACCCTAAATATCAGATCAAACTGTGGTAATGACTCTGAGTATTATGATATAATTCGTGTAAGCGATGAATAATGTTTCCTTTCCTTCAAAAATATATTCTTTTAATAAACCAAATTTACATTAATTATTAAATATTAAAAATATAAATAAATTATTTATTTTTGTATTATTTATTATTTAACTAAAAGTTAAAACTATAAGCTAACTAAATTAAGTGCTTTAGAAGCTAAGGTAAATAAATCATAAATTATGATGTTATTCTGTGATGTGATTGAACATATTTACGTGCATAAATATGAACAAAAAATATATATTTGGTTGTAGGTACTAAATAATATTACTTACAATGCCACCGATGAAGAGCAATAGGATGATGATAATGGTTTTCCAGGGTACTGGTCCTGGGATCGCCGGTTCTGTCCACTGTTCATTGACGAATCCATCGGTCTCGCACTGGGACTCCACCACCTTGATATATTCCCCAGAGCCTGCTGGTGGGGAACTTCCAACCCCACCCCCCGCGTTTAGGCGGAGCCGTGAATTCGATTTGGTGGGCTGCATATTTGGACTACTAGCCGATCTTGACCGGGTGAAAATAAAACACTAAGCATTTAGCAGCGACTCTCCAGCATTTCAATGTTATCAGAAAAACAGCTGCTGAAGCTGCCAACTTGAGGAAAATAAACAAGTACAGTGGACACTCGAGAAATTAAACTTCAAAGCTGCTAAATAAAAATATGGATATGGATCATTAAATGTCGTTAACAAACTCTCCAGTTTAGAAGAATTTGCGAATATATTTTAATATCTAATGTATTTTACGTTTTAATAATTTTTTTTGTGATAAAATTTGTATCTATTTTTTATTAAAAAAAAGGTGGTTACATTTTGAAATGAGATAATCGGTTATATGTATCTAAAATGCTTTTTACATCATTAAGTAATTGCAAGTTTCCTTTCAATACTTTTAACAATTTCGAAGAAAACGCCGGATAGAAATCACAACATCAATCATATATCCTTAAATGTTTTTTCCGAAGCCCGATTGCCCCCATCTTTTTCATCAGTTTCAATTGGCTCCCAGTGGAATCCGTCGCAGGGCAGCGGGCTGGGTATGAAGGCAGAAATCCAGGTCCATTTCATTCGTGTCCCCAAAAATGACTCCAAGTTCCGGCGTAGTCCCCGATCGAACGGAAAGTTTTTAATTTTGAACTCATAACAAACTGCTCCCTTCTGGATAGCGGACCAGTGTCCACAAATCATATAAACACTTCCGCAAATCCCGATCCACAACAAAGCGAACGTAACTGCAAATACCACCTCGTATTTATCAGGAAAGCTTAAATCAATGGCCCTCAAAATAATTGAAGGCAAATCCTGATCCTTATGTCCTGAAAATTTTGAAAGAATAATTGCTGGAAGAGTCAGCAAACTGAATTTGTAGCGGCCTCCACGTAGCGCATAAATAAAGATAAAAGATGATATTATCGAGATCAGGCAGCCTAAAAACATATAGAACATAAAATAGAAGAAGTATCGATAGTTTGCATGACCGATGCAGCAACCGGTAAGGATGCAGTGATGATCTCGCTTCAGGACACAAACATCACACGAATCGCAGTGAGATGATCGAGGTGGAGCAAAAATCCGGCACTCGTCGCACTTGTGCCAGTTCTCACTGTGCCTTCCTCGCTCCAACTGATCCTTCATTCGCTTGGGATCGATGGTTGAATCCACCAGTATGCACATGACAAAGTTCGACAATATATTTGACAAGAGAAAGACCCCCAGAACCCGTTGAAATATGTAACTGGGTGTCCCGTAATCCGACATCTCCGGCAGAACTATCCCCATGAGTATTTTGTAGACCGCAATCACAACGCAAAGAATAAATAGAATGAGTAGTCGCTCCTTTTTCTTTTTCGGGCAGATTTTCTTCAGCGAACGGAATCTCATGATTAAAATATGTATTCCAAAAAGTTTCAAGATTATATTGTCGATTGAGAACTGATTTGGAAATATTAGTTTTTGTCATATGAGTTTGACCCAGTTATGCAAGCTAGCTCTGTTCATCTAAACAGTTTTTATTTCGTTTTTATTTCTGCAAGCTTTTTCAAATTTTGTTAAACTTTTTAATAATAAACTTATGCGTTTTGAAAAGTATTTATTAAATTTTCTTTTTAAACATTTTTCAGCTCAAATCATCCAACCATTTTTTTTGTCCAGAACAAAACTCTGTAACAATAAGAAAATTATGGATTAGTATGTTAAGTTAAATAAATGGATTTAAAATAACTTTTTAAAAATCAGTTCTACTATCAAGATAAATCAATCATAGTCTTCAGATGTCCCTATCTTAAGGTGTCATCATATAAAATGCAAGATTTAAGTACTGTAATCATACTTACATATCAGAAAATCCATTTTTGTGGTTATTCCATACAAAGTATCCTTTTCCCTGAAAAAATTATAAATCAATTAGTATTATTTAAGTTAAGACCACACAGAAATACTTTTTATTTGTATAATCAGTTCTACTATCAAGATAAATCAGTCATAGACTTCAGATGTCCCTATCTTAAGGTGTCATCATAAAAATAAAAGATTTCAGTACTATAATCCATACTTACATTTTTAAAATTCCTTTTTTATGGTTATTCCAGATAAAAAAATTTTTTTCCTGCAAAAATTGTAAATAAATTAGTATATTTTAAAAAAAGACCACACAGAAGAACTGTTAATTTGTATAATCAGTTCTACTATCAAGATAAATCAGTCATAGACATCAGATGTCCCTATCTTAGGGTGTCATCATACAAAATGCAAGATTTAAGTACTATAAATCATACTTACATATTAGGAAATCCGTTTTTGTGGTTATTCCATTCGAAATATCCTTTTGTCCCTGCAATAATTATAAATTTATATAGTGTTTTTAAGGATAAAGCCACACAGAAGAACTGTTAATTTGTATAATCAGTTCTACTATCAAGATAAATCAGTCATAGACATCAGATGTCCCTATCTTAGGGTGTCATCATAAAAAAACGTGGGTTTGGGTATTATAAATTATACTTACTTATAGATGACATTTATTTGGAGGCCGTTGTACTAGTGAACAGCAATATCATCTGAAAGATAAATATAATATTTAGTACATAGTAAATACATAGAAGACTAGTGACTCAGGACATGAATTTCTTTTATCAGTTCTACTATCAAGATAAATCAGTCATAGACATCAGATGTCCCTATCTCAAGATCTCATCATGGACGTTAAAAATATTTAATAAATATATGACTTACCGCTGAAACAATCCACGTTGGTCCCAAGAAGTCTTCAAATGAGACTCCTTGGGGCGGTTGCCACGCTGCTTAATATCCGCACATTTTTTAGTTACGACTTAAGTTTCAGCTATTAAGAAGGACTTCGCCTGTGATATTTCCATAAATATCTTGATGATTTCTCGTGGAAATCATTTTTATTTGGATATATTTTTTCATAGCTCTGCAACACGTGGGTTCTCTGCAGATGAAAATTTTAAACTGTGACTGCCTCACCACCGTGACGAGAAATCACCAAAAATAAAATACCGAAAACTGCAAAATATTCTGGATTTTTTGGTGACTTTTAAATGGCGCCCTGCATTCAAGATTAATTTGAATTTGTCGATTTTTTCTATATTTTTATTATATAAATAGATATTGCGATTCGGACGCTGTTGCGGATACATAACTTGTTCTAAACACTTCACTTGCAACTCTCGATTCCTAATTGGCCAACAAATTAAATTGCTTATTACTTATGATTTACATGGCAGTCCGTGACCTTGCATGTGACTAATCTGAATCAACAAAACTAATCTCACTCGATACAAGGCTGTCATAACTTCAAAAATAAGGCGTTTTTTGGGAAAAACATTGAACTGGGGAACCTTAAATGAGAGATGATTCTCGAGCCTTTTTCCCTTTTCTAAATACAATTGATGTAAGTAAAATGTTAAAAATGTTTGGCTTTCAAAAGTTTGCCAGTAACCTAGTTTGATTTGTTTCTTCAACTATAATTGATTAGGAATTCGGGAACAAGACAAGTATGGCTGATTCTTATTTTATGTTTTTGGGGGGGTATATGAATCCCTTACAAAGTATAATCAAATTTTTTGGGTTACGACAGTCTTGCATTAAGTGAGCTATCAGTATACTAATTGTGTTCCAGCCGACTCATGGGTCCTCTGTGTATGTTGTGGTTGCCTCCTGCGCTTGCTGCTCCTGCTCCAGTTCCTGTTGCTGCGCCAATCGCAGGCGCTTCTTGGCCTGGATGTCGGCCAGCGTTTGTTCGATGGAGCGCATGTCCTTCTTGTTCTTGCTGGGCACGAATCCGTAGCTTTGGTTGGTCTCCGTCTTGCGGGCCGCCTGCAATGCGGCCGACTCTCCGATGAGGTGGGCGTACTTGGCCTTGTAGTTGGTCGTGGGTTTGACTTCGCCGGACTCCGGATCCCCGGCTGCGGATGTGGATGAGTTCGCCGCCTCGGAGGTGGAAGCCTCTTTGTCGCTCTGCTCCTGCGCCAATCGCTCCCGCCGCCGCTCGGCATACTCCTTGGCCACCTCCGGATTCCAGCCATCTCCATTGCGACGGGCCGTGACCTCGTCCTCGCCGGGAGCGTGCTCCTTTTTGTACACCACCGAATGCCGGTCCACATCCTCGCGGCCAAAGCTCATGGCAATGAAGCCGCCATTCTCGGCCACCTCGTGGATCACCGATCGATGCACCTTGTCCAGCGGCTGGAACTCGATGCACTGTCTGTCGTCCTTGGCGAATCGGCCCATCCGTTCGTCCACATACTTGCGGAATCGGAGGAGCTCCTCCTTCTGTTTGTTCTGCATTCGCTCCATCATTTCGCGTTGCTTTTTGATCAGCGTCTTCTGCTGCTCGTTGTTGGCAGGCGGCGCATCCATGGCATTGAGTATCGAGTCGAGCAGGTCCATTTTCCCGCCGTGTTTTCCTCGCTTTTCCGCCGTGATTTCCTCGCTTCTTGTTGTTGATCAATTGGCGGATGTGCGCCTGCGATGCGTTGCGATGCCAGCGAAAGAAATGCGAGGGAATCTCGGTTAATCGGTCTGTTCGCTCATTGTGGGCGGATTTTTAAGGGACTTACCACTCTCTGGCGTTTATTATTAGCCTCTTGGGGTGTTCGATTGCCGTTGATTTGCTTATTTTATTGGGCTAAAAAGTAATTATAATTATATTGGCAACCGGTGCTTGTGCACCAAATAAGTTCTGCGAAAAATACTAAAATATGGGATGCCAACTCGGTCACAAATGCGGTATTTTAAGTTACACAACAGCTGTTTACACTCAGCAGCAGGTTTCAAGTTGTGTTTTTTGGGTACTTTAAAAAATTAACTGCGAAAAATATTGTGAAGCCAATAAACCATTCTTAAGATAAAAGAAAAACTGAACAATTTATAAATTAAAATACATTTTTAATTCAATTAGAGTGGTGCAATATTAGCTTTAAAAATAAATAATTGGATGGACAAGTTTAAAAGATTGTTTACATTTGTTATGCTTAATGTTGAAATACATTGGTAAAATTGAAATTAAAAAACTTTAAATTTAAGGCATTTGCTACTGAATATAACAAATACATCATAAACTGAAACATTTAACAAACAACTAAAACCCTCTGTTTGCAGCGCAGTGTAAATGAGTTCAGAAAAACAAGTTGGCAGGTCTCCTTGAGCGCTTTTGCGTTTGAAATACCTTTTCCGCGTTAAATCCGAATAAGTACCGTTTTAAGTCACGGACACGTGCTGAAATGGATAAAGACAGATCCACTCTGGTCCACTGGTTCCGCAAAGGTCTCCGGGTCCATGACAATCCAGCTCTATCGCAGATTTTCACCGCCGCCAATGCTAAGCCGGGAAAATTCTTCATCCGCCCGATATTCATTTTGGACCCGGGAATTCTCGACTGGATGCAAGTGGGAGCCAATCGATGGCGATTCCTTCAGCAGACGCTGGAGGATTTGGATAAGCAGCTACGAAAACTCGACTCCCGCCTGTTTGTGGTGCGCGGAAAGCCTGCAGAGGTGTTTCCCCGGATCTTCAAGAGCTGGCGCGTAGAACTCCTGACTTTCGAGACGGACATCGAGCCGTATTCGCTGTCCAGAGATGCTGCCGTCCAGAAGTTGGCCAAATTAGAGGGTGTTAGGGTGGAGACCCACTGCTCCCACACGATTTACAACCCGGAATTGGTTATAGCCAAGAATCTTGGCAAGGCTCCCATTACCTATCAAAAGTTTCTGGGCATTGTGGATCAACTCAAGGTACCCAAAGTTCTAGGCTTTCCTGAGAAGCTCAAGATTAAGGTTGTTCCACCTAAAGATGAAGTGGAGCAGAAGGATTCGGCAGCCTACGATTGTCCTACAATGGAGCAATTGGTCAAGAGACCAGAGGAACTGGGACCGAATAAATTTCCGGGAGGTGAATATGTTTAGAATCCTTAAAATAAATGAATATATTATAAATTATTTTCACAACCAGGTGAAACAGAGGCCCTGCGACGTATGGAGGAATCTCTAAAGGATGAACTTTGGGTGGCCCGCTTTGAGAAGCCCAACACGGCACCCAATTCCCTGGAGCCCAGCACTACTGTACTGAGTCCCTATCTAAAGTTTGGATGCCTTAGTGCTCGATTGTTTCATCAAAGGCTCAAGGAGATTCTCAAGCGTCAGACGAAGCACTCGCAGCCTCCCGTTTCGCTAATTGGACAACTTTTGTGGCGGGAATTCTACTACACAGTGGCGGCAGCTGAGCCGAACTTTGACCGGATGCTGGGAAACATTTACTGCCTGCAGATTCCCTGGCAAGAGCAGCCCGATCACCTGGAGGCCTGGACTCATGGACGCACCGGTTATCCCTTCATCGATGCCATTATGCGTCAGCTGCGCCAGGAGGGCTGGATCCACCATTTGGCCCGGCATGCGGTGGCCTGTTTCCTGACACGCGGCGATCTCTGGATCAGCTGGGAGGAGGGGCAGCGCGTGTTCGAGCAGCTACTGCTGGATCAGGACTGGGCCCTCAACGCTGGCAACTGGATGTGGCTCTCGGCGTCCGCCTTCTTTCATCAGTACTTTCGCGTCTACAGCCCGGTGGCGTTTGGCAAGAAGACGGATCCCCAGGGGCACTACATACGGAAGTATGTCCCGGAACTCTCAAAATATCCAGCAGGCTGTATTTATGAGCCCTGGAAAGCCTCGCTGGCCGACCAGAGGGCCTACGGCTGCGTCCTGGGCACAGATTATCCCCACCGGATTGTTAAACACGAAGTGGTGCACAAGGAGAACATCAAGCGAATGGGCGCCGCCTATAAAGTGAATCGGGAGGTGCGCACGGGCAAGGAGGAGCAGTCGTCCTTTGAGGAGAGCACAGAAACCTCCACTTCAGGCAAGCGGAAGGTGCGAAAGGCAGGCGGAAATGCCCCGAAGCGAAAGCGTTGAAATTTATATATGTATGCTTCTTAAAGGACGGGGTATGTAGATATTTATGGTATTCGTTTATTTGTAAATTTAAAACTTAACCAATGTTTAATGTAATATTTTAGTAATGGTATGCTACCCTAATTGGGGTACATTTAGTGTCATAATTAATTTAATTTTGGAATGAATAATAACTAAGTAAAAAAATGCTACATAATACATATATCAATTTCTTATTACATGTATAAATTTTTTTTTAAAATAATAATTTCTTGGACAGCTAATTTGATATATAAATTTCTTGTTAAAATAACCATTTCTCGGACAGCTAATTTGAATGAATATGTTTGGAAATGTATTTATAGTATTCCTAGAAACTTCGTTAAGCTTGAAATAAAATATATTTGGACCAACTTAACTATTGATACATTTATTTGTTTATTTTTTGTCACTCTATATAAGAATTCAAATATCTGGAAACATTTTAGCCTTGGATTTAACTTCTTTCCCAATCGAACTGTGTCAGATGTCTAGCCAATCTGTGAACTTCAGTCATATCTAAAATTTCGGCAACTCAAGACCTTCCAATTTTTGTTTGTAAATAAAGTATTTTTTGTTAAAAATTTTTCTTTACGGTTTTGTGTGACAGGTCTTTAATTTTGAAAATCGAATATATTAACGAAAACCATGTTTCGCAACTTGTCGATGCTGAGAAACAAGCTGGCACTCCAGCGAATTCTGGTTTCCCGCTTGACTTCGCGATCCAAAATGTCCACCGGAGTTACGTGCCTCACAATTAATCGTCCCAGGAACATCGATGGCGTGACGGTGATCGACATTAATATGAATGATATGGCCAAGAATGACGTGGAGTTCAATCGTAATTTCGTCAATTCGCTGACTTCGATGGACCGCCCTCATTTCCAGGAACCGATTCAGTCAGTTGCCACTGATGCGGCTGACTCGCCAACTCCAGAGGATTCGGCTCCAGCGGAGCCTGTTGGCATCCTGCCCCATGGTGCCCCCAGTTCCGTTTTAGGCGTGGACGGAAATCCCATTGTACCCATCGAAATCGATGGCTGGAATCAGGACGAGGAGGATCCCACTGTGCAGAAGAACTCGAAGGACGTGGACATCGGAAATGATGACGAGTACAAGGCCGAGATGGCTCTGCGGGTGCCAGAGATCAGGGAAGCCCAAACCGAATACAAGGGCATCAAGGTGAAGCTGCCGGAGACGGCTAACCAGGATGTGGGCACCTATCGCTTCCGTCGCGACGCCCAGGATCTCAAGGAGGTCGGAGACGACACGCGTCTGGTCCGATTCGACAAGAAGTAGACGAAACATGTTTTTCGTTCAAAATTATATCCACTGTCTTCAAGTGTTTCGAAATTTGTTCAGATCTTCAGGTCGACCTACGCATATGCATAGCATTTTCAATTTCGTAATAAAGTTGACCATTCTAACTTAAATGACAGCTTTAATTTACTAAAACTACCTCAAATATCCGAGCTTCCCTTAAATTCCTAAAGAAAATAAAAATATACCAACTAATATAAAACTAGACTTAAGCTCAATGTAAAAATGTAAATATTTACGGCACAAACGTAGTTTAAGGTCACAGCAGCTATAGTTACTATTAAACACCAAGGTTATAGGCAATTTATAATTTCCTTGTTAACCTGACAATAAATAAATAAATAAAATTTACTAAAACTTAAACCATAAGTATTGATTTATTATAGGTTTTATTAACGAATCTATATTATATGCTTACCATAACTTTAATTGTTTTAATATTCTTATAATATGTATTTAAATATGGGTTAAAAAACCTTTTTTTTACATTATGGTTTTTTAAAAATTGTGATTGACAATGTGCATTCAATGTTTCCCCACATTCGAATTGCTCCACTACAAAACCCTGCCAATTGACCGATCTAGATGCAATAGCTAGCATATGGTTTCGTAATTGCAATATGCGAAATTGCAAAATTTTTCCCCATTCAGTTGATGATTATTATCTGTGGGCCCGATGGTGATGCAGATGGACATGGCCACTAAGAATTGTCAGTTGGCGACCGGTCATGCTTAAATGAAAATCCAACTATAGACCACGACCACTATTTCAACCCACCCAGTCCGCTCTCTATATCACAAAAGATCGTTTTGTGGTCAATGGCAACCGAAACCGGGGCAAAAACACTTCCCATAAATTGCATTAAAAGCGGGCCAGGAGCGAAAACTACTCGTAACAATGCAGCGGACATAAACACGCTGCAAAATGTTTGTAGGCTCTAAACCAAAATTGAATTTGCGGTTTTGCCTGCGGGGGCGTGGCTGTGGGCGGCGGGAGGGACAAGTGTGTGCAGGTGGGGTATTGCAAATAACTGTAAATGAAGCTAAAGTGCGGTCAGCCGAATGGGGGATGCAATAAAAATGGACAGAAGCCCCAGCTCTGAATGAGAGGATGGTGAACAAGATTGGTTATAATCAATATGAACGGTGACAGAAACTCCATGTTTTGAGGTGTATTAAAAAGGAAGTTTTTGTATGCCTGTTAGAAGGTTAGCTCACAGTTTTTATGATAGAATACAAATTTGTACTAATCCTTAATTTAATCTTTATGTTAAATTTATTTAATAAAATAAGGTTGTTGTTTCTCTTTATAGTTTCTTTAATCATATTTATAGTTTTTTAAGATATTGTGTTGGCTTAATAATAACTATATTCATCGTATTCAGAGCTTTCATAACTTTCATTTTCTGGGTCGCATTGTTTCTTATTATGCAAAAGGTTAGCCCGTTTTGTTACATTCGAAAAGTTATATGCCTTTTGAAGAGATTTTTTCTGCCTTCGATAAAACCCAAGACACTTTTTACTTTTCTTTGTGTTTATAACAAGGAGTTTGTTGATTAGATCATCGATCGTTTTGATGCGGTTCCTAATACGATCTTCCAAGTCTTGGCGACGTTCGTTGTAAATATCAAACTGAGCTCGGACTTTAAATTTTTCTTTCATAGGACTCGATTTACTTGCTTTGTCAAGTTTTTTAATCCACTGGGAGAACTCAGTATTTCCAACAGACAAGTGTTTATACTTGTCCACCATATCTTTTACTTGTTTTGTTGCTACTGCATTAAGTTCTTCAAGTGTTTCAGAGCCCAAAACTGAAAAATATATCGTTTCATTGAGTTGCAATGCTGGTTGTTGTGGTCTTACTGTAGCCAATATTTAACATTAGGAATATTGCTATAATCTTCATTCTTCTGATTCTAAAAGCTAACTGAATAAACATTCAATTAGCGTAAGCCTTTATATGCGAAACAAAGCGATTCGAGATGGTATATTATAACGAGCATAAAAAAATCTTAATTTTTAAACAATTATCCACTGTACTAAGTCAATTTAAAGGTTGTAAAACAAAAAATAATTACCACATAACTTGCAGAAAAATAGCATTGTGTTATAGTTTGATTACCCCAATAATTAAAAACTTTTTAATAAAAAATTCAAATCAAAAGTGGTATTATATATTGAATTAAATTTTTATACCCGTTACTCGTAGAGTAAAAGGGTATACTAGATTCGTGCAAAAGTATGTAACAGCTAAAAGGAAGCGTTTCCGACCCCATAAAGTATATATATTCTTGATCAGGGTCACTAGCCGAGTCGATCTAGCCATGTCCGTCTGTCCGTCTGTCTGTCTGTCTGTCTGTCTGTCTGTCTGTCTGTCTGTCTGTCCGTCTGTATGAACGCTGAGATCTCAGAAACTACAAAAGCTAGAAGGTTGAGATTTCCCACACATATTCTTTGGCTTCCTACGCAGCGCAAGTTTATTTTAGCCGAGCGCCACGCCCCCTCTAACGCCCACAATCGCCCACTAACGATTTTAAAATGGGTCCTGCGCCCACATCTTTAAAGATTTCCGAGAAGTATAAATGCAATTTTGTTGTGTATATTTATACCTATCGAAATGTAGAAGACATTTTTCAAATCGGACCATTCATTAAAAAGTTATACGCAATCAAAAATTATATATCTATCTCCCTCGCACTCCCTTTAGCTGAGTTACGATTATTAGTCGGGACACCAACCCGACACAGCGTTCGCACTCCCTTTAGCTGAGTGACGGGTATTAGATAGTCGGGACAACAACCCGACTATAGCGTTCTCTCTTGTTTTAATTAAAGCCAGTTTAAATAGTCGTACTCATCATACTCCTTGACTTTTTTCACCATAAAATTCCTTGGGCATGGAGTACTATTTTCATCGATTTTTGTCCTTTTTCTGGAATTGGAGAATTTGAAGGCCCTTTTAAGTTCACTTTCCTGCATTCGATAAAACTGAACACATTTTGGTCCGCCTCTTCTGTAGATCAATAAATCTGTAACCTTCGATAGACGATCTGTAATTTGATCTTCGAGGCGTTGACGTTCCTTATCGTAAAGGTAAAATTGAGCTACTAATTCCATTTTTCCTTTAATATTCCCAGATTGTCTATTCAGTTCATTGTAGACTTTTTCAATCCACTGAGAGAATTCCGCATTTCCAGTAGACAAGTGTTTATACTTCTTTATAATATTCTGTAGCTCTCGCCTATTTTCTCTCTTGAGAGCTTCATATTCACTTGCTGTAAAATATATATATTGAGATAGAAATATAGAATTCCAACCGGACTTACCATAGCCAAGATTAAATGACACAACTAAAATGATTATGATCTTCATCTTGCTAAGAAGGAATGCCAGCTGATATTGATACTTGGATGGCTTTTATTATACAGATTTGAGTTTAAACAACCAATCGATTTGTAAAGCTTAATGCTTTACAAATTTTCTGCGGCAATAACAAAACAATTAGACATGCTAACAATCATAAGTTTATGAGTTGCTATAACTTTAAAAACTTTCTATATTACCTCCTAGGTTCCAAGTCGCTTTCTGTATTTAGTTTTAACTTTGATCAAAATACAAATAACATTAAATTTGAAATCAATGAATTAAAATAAAATATATTTAAATCAAATGTTAGAATATATGTATACAGAACGTATATATAGAACGTATATATACGTTCTTTGCAAATATTTCGTTTGCTTAAAAATAGTTTAAATAGTCATAATCATCGTCGTCCTCGACCTGAATTACCATTAAATTTCTTGGGCATGGTACACTATTATCTTTGATTTTTTTCCGTTTTATAGCATTTGAGTACTTGAAAGCTCTTTCAAGGTTTCTATACTGCATTTGGTAAAACTGTATACATTTCGGGCCTCCGTTTCCATCAATAATAAGATTTTTGACCTTGGATCTACGATCACCAAGTTTATCTTCGAGGTCTTGACGTTCCCTATCGTAACGCTTAAACTCAATCACCAAGTCCACTTTCTCTCTAAGGTTCATATAATCTCTTTTGATAGCAGCTTGGACTTTCTCAATCCAGTCGGAGAATTCTGCATTTCCATTAGATAGGTGTCCATACTTGTTTAATATGTCTTGAAGGTCCCGTCGATTTTCCCTCTTCAGAGTGTCAGAACTTTCACTTAGGACTGTGAAATATATCATATTGTTGAGATAGAAATCTAGAGGCCCAGTTAAACTCACCATAGCCAAGACTTGCCAATATTAAAATAGCTATTATTTTCATCTTGCTAAAAAGAAACGAAATCTGATACTGGCATATAAAAGATGCTCTTATTTTGTAGATTTAAGCTTATATAACTAATCAATTGGTTAAGCTTAATTCACTAAAACATAGTTATAATGGAAAAAACCTGGTAACTAAATGCAAATCTAATTCTGAAATATTTATTCGGTGACCTACTTAAGCTAGACTACGTATAACTCTGATGAAGAGCTGCCTGATAGGATATGTGTATCAAACTCATCTGCAGCAATATCCCTCCGACATGGAAACGGACACGAATACTCGGGAAAACTCACTGCCGGCAGTTTGCGCCTGGAAATGATGTGGTTGGTTAGTTGCGGTCCATGTGGTGGCCGTTGGTCCTTGCTGCTACTCCTGATGACGCTGGTCATGGAAATGACGACTGCCTGACGGCAAAACTTTTTTCTCTTTTTTCGGACCCAACCGTAAATGTAACTACAGCAGTTAAAGTTAGGCCCTCCGGCAGTAGGTCAGACATCCGACATCCAGACATCAGACGCCAGACCAGTGCGGTTTTTAAATGAAAATGCCCATGCCAAAAGAAGTGCCACCCAGCGGCATTTTGGTAGTTTCAAAAAGGGATTTGCTTTTGAGGGTTATAAGCAGATAAATTTGAATACGTGTGGGGCATGTCTTTTTTTTTATAAAAAAAAACCTTCAAAACGGCACTTTTCATTTAAATTTAATGAATAAATTACTTTTTGGGTTTTTCTTAATGTATCATTTATCAGAAAATGTTAATTTTGTTTTTAATCTTACAACTTAAATTGTTGTACTTATGGTAAGGATTATACACCATTATTAATATATGTTATAAACAATTATTTTGAATAAGTTTGGGTTGGATAATCATAAAGTCAGCCAGTCGAGATGCAATCAAAGCCGTCAGCTTCAAATGGACCGCTCAGCTGCACAGCCACGCCCCTTTCCGACCTGCCCCTCCTCCGACCGGAGGCCATCAACATCATCATTATCATTACCGTTATCATCGTTGGTCGGCCGGCATTTCCGTTGGGCCCGAGAGTTGGCCAAGGGCCATTACAGAAGTTGACCAACTTTTAATACCCGCACTGGCCATGTTGCGCATGTGTAATCCCATTAAAATCCAATAAGTTAAATTATTTCCATTATTATTATGTGAACGCACTTTGTCGCCGTCCGTCCATCAGTTTATCCGCACCCCCTTCCACCCCCTGCACCCTCCACTTTTGTGTCCTGCGTGATAACTGCTCATGTGGGCGTTTATCTCTCGTGTGGCTTTCTGTCCTCCTCTGCTGTTTCCTCTTCACCTCTACACTAAAAAAATGTTTTTTTTTTATATTTTAGAAATATTAGGTTAGGTACAAATATTTACTCGGTTTTTAAATTACTTTTTTATTATCCTGCAAATTTGTGAAACGAATTTACAATTAATTAATTAATTTCAAAAATAAATAACAATGTTTTTAATATTTTAGCTAAAAACTTCTCTATATTTTAGAAAACTATTTTATCAAATTTTAAGTTTTATTTTTCAAATAAAAAGGTATTCCTAATGATTTTGATTTTTATAATGATGTTATATTAGGTCAAAGTTTTTTTGACCAACAATTTTGTTTAGTATTATTTGCATATAAAATTTAAATATATTTTTCAATTTTTTCTATTGTTATTTTTTGTTATTTTAAGTGTACTTTTTGAAATCCGGCAGCAGCACTTTTGACCAATATCTGCAACACTTTAAACTCAGCTGGCTGTTTCTGTTTCATCTTCTGGCCGATGTTCCAGTGTGGTCACGCCCCCAGCCTCCGCCCTCGTGTCCCCTGTTTGTTGGCCATTAAATTGCATTACGTTCGTGCAATCATAATGATTGCCATTGCCATTACCGCTGTTGTTTCCATTGTGTCGAGTAATTTGCGTATATTTTTTAATTACTTGGATGCCGCCTACGAAGCTTAAGAGCCGATGAAATGTCGATGGGACTTAACTTTAATAACACTATGCAGCATCAAAAATTTACCTCGATGGATGCTATATTTTTGGATTCGTTACGAATTCCCAAGTTAAACTGCGTTTTCCAAAAAGTTCCCCGACGCAAGGATTCATAGCAAAAGGACCTCAAAGTTCGAAAAATTGTGAAATTGGCCTACTTTCCAGTGCTCTCAGAGGCAAATGGATGCAAGGTTTGATTCGATGTTAAAGTTTTTTAAAAGATACACTCTTTATCTTTCAAACCCCATACTTAGAATAATTTTAGGATTTTTTTAAGGCAGAAATAAATTCCAAAAAACATAGTCAAAAAACTAAAAAACTTACAGCTGCGGTAAAAATAGTAGTAGTGTTGCCGCCCTGTGTTTTTAAAAGTTTTTTTGTTGTCACTTTTCTTATCCAATTAGTCTATTAGTACAATTATAATCAATACAATATTACCAGGAGAAGATAAATTACAACAACAAACCTTTAAAAACACAGGGCGGCAACACTACTACTATTTTGACCGCAGCTGTATGCTTTTATGTTTTTTGACTATGTTTTCTAAAATTTGTTTCTCCTTTAATAAAAATCCTAAAATTATTCTAAGTATGGGGTTTGAAAGATAAAGGGTGTATCCTTTAAAAAACTTTAACATCGAATCAAACAATGCATCCGTTTGTCTCTGAGAGCTCTGGAAAGTTGTCCAATTTCAGCATTCTTCGAACTTTGAGGTCCTTTTGCTAAGAATCCTTGCGTCGGGGAACTTTTTAGAAAACGCAGTTTAACTTGGGAATTCGTAACGAATCCAAAAATATAGCATCCATCGAGGTAAATTTAAAAAGCACTAAAAATGCTGCACAGTGTAATAGATTTCATCAATGGAGAAGGTTGAGAAGGTTTCCAGCAACAAGATCTTCATTCTGATATAACAAGCTCACGTCCCACAATCTTAATTTGATATACAAATAAATATAAGAAATCTTTTTAATATTCTTTATAATTTTATGTTTTTGGATCTCATGTTTTAATAGATGTTGGTTTGTTTTGTAAGCTATGTTGACCAGCAAATACAATGTAAGCCCTGAAAGCTGCAAAATACCTAACAAAGATTACAAAGTGGAAACAAGTAAGCCACTTCTTCAAATATCCCAACAAATAGGTATTACATGGAATTGAAAACTTGGCTCGGACCAAGCCCTTTGATAACACGCTTACAATGGCATCGTTAATGGATATCCAGAGCCACTGGACGGATGCAATCACCATCAATATCCAGCAATCAATACTCGATGAGCCAATCGAAGGCAAACCAGACCATAAATGCCAGTGAGCCACTTGAAAGTCATCAAAGCTGTTATCTAATGGAATTCTTAAACTTCTGCCGTCCATTTTGCACTCCCTCTCGGTCTCTCCTTTTATTTTCCCAACCAAAGGGTCCCATAATTAAACATGCAACGCATAATGGAGCTCTAATGGCTAATGAATGGGGTGGGATTGGGTGGTTTGGGGGGTTTGCGGGGTTGGAAAGGGGATGGAGATGAAATGCAAGATGCCAGGCGGTGTAAAATTTGCATTTTTCCCCGTTCTGCCCCTCTGTCCCTCCCGTCGTGCCAATGGAATTGAAAACAAGAGAGAACGCTATAGTCGGGTTGTTGTCCCGACTATCTAATACCCGTCACTCAGCTAAAGGGAGTGCGAACGCTGTGTCGGGTTGGTGTCCCGACTAATAATCGTAACTCAGCTAAAGGGAGTGCGAGGGAGATAGATATATAATTTTTGATTGCGTATAACTTTTTAATGAATGGTCCGATTTGAAAAATGTCTTCTACATTTCGATAGGTATAAATATACACAACAAAATTGCATTTATACTTCTCGGAAATCTTTGAAGATGTGGGCGCAGGACCCATTTTAAAATCGTTAGTGGGCGATTGTGGGCGTTAGAGGGGGCGTGGCGCTCGGCTAAAATAAACTTGCGCTGCGTAGGAAGCCAAAGAATATGTGTGGGAAATCTCAACCTTCTAGCTTTTGTAGTTTCTGAGATCTCAGCGTTCATACAGACGGACAGACAGACAGACAGACAGACAGACAGACAGACAGACAGACAGACGGACAGACGGACAGACGGACAGACGGACATGGCTAGATCGACTCGGCTAGTGACCCTGATCAAGAATATATATACTTTATGGGGTCGGAAACGCTTCCTTCTAGCTGTTACATACTTTTGCACGAATCTAGTATACCCTTTTACTCTACGAGTAACGGGTATAATTAACTCATTAAACTCGACGGCGGCCAACGCGTCGTATACGTAACGCGCCAAGATCTCGCCAAAGATTAATGATTTTCCAAGTGACAGAGAGGAAGGTGAAGAGGTGGAAACCGTGAGATATAGATCTCCCCGTTTGGCGAGAATTTCCATGCAATTATTTTCATATCAACTTCAATGCGCCGTGAAAAGTCTCGCGCTGAGGACGAGAGGACGAGAAGGACAGCAATGAAAAACCGATTTGCTGTTGTGACAATTGTAATTTTTCACTCGCTTGGTTTCATTGTCCGAGTTAAACTGATGGTGCCACTGGCAGTGCCACTGACACGGCCACAGCCACTTCCTCAGTTCCTCAGATAATCAGAGGTTCCACGCAGGGCTCTTCCTTCTCTGAATTTCATTTAAATGATTACGGTTTTTCATTTCCCCTTCGCAGTTGGCTTTTGTGTGTTTCTGTTTTTGTGTCTCCGGCCATCGGCGACCATCACGTGAGGCATAAATTTTTCATCGAGCCGACCCACCGTCTTTTGGGTATATTTTGCACTCCATTGGCAGTTGGTGTCATTTGGAGGGGGAAGGGGGATGACCAATTGGTTTTATGATCCATTCCGGCACACTTATTGCCTCCTGTTTATGCTGGCGAATTCTCTTTTACGAGCCCCTTTCATTTCTCTTCATTTTGTTAATCAATTTCTGTTTGTATATTGGTGGGAGACAGGCCTAAATCAACATTGCTGTTTAAGCATTTAAAGAAATTTATATAAAATGGAATTTAAAAATTTTAAAGGCAGATGTCAAGATATTTTTGGTCCCAAGATATATTTGCCACTAAAAAAGGAAATTTTTTAAAGGAATTTTAAATTTTCTCCAAACTAATTTCATTGTTTTTAATAATTTTGCCAAGTAAAGAAGAAATTAAATACTTAATTTAATTGTTTAAGCCTTGGTTTCCTTTTTAAACTTGCCAAATTGCATTTCGTCTAAAATTGCTGACCACAAATGGAACAATTAAGCTAATATATTCCTTTAAACATTCGCCATATATTTGCTAAAGTTTGGCTTTAAAATCTAGCTCATATATATTTTTGCTTTGCGGTTTGCCCGAAAACTCGGCGCATGTCAATTATGCAAATTCATTTTTCGCCCATATATCCTCAACGAAATGGTCCCAAATGTTCCGAAACGTTTTTATAAATTCATTAGAAAATAAGTTTTACTAAGGCCCCTTGTCCCCCGGATTTTATACCTCCTGCTCAGACAAAATGTACGCCTAATGTGATTTCCTTTTCGGCAACTAACTAACTAAAACAAAAATAGTTGCAAACTACAAAATGATAAGTTAAAAGTTTAGTTAGATTAGGCTAAAGTGTTGCTGGGGAGAGAAAAAATACAGAAAAATGGTTGCTCAAAAGTTGTGGAATTTAAAAAAGGTTAAATTTTTAAACGGGAAGTAAAATAATAAGATACTGAGAAATTAATTGGAATTTTTAACAAGTTGATTGAGATAAAATATTATTTATTTTGTGACACATCTTGATCATTAAAATTCATTTGGCAAATTTAGGGGCTGCAAATTTAGACAAGGCCAAATCGGAAATATAATTTAAAAGTAAATTTCAATTACCGAGCGGAGGGCATTTATAAGTTATGAGCAGGATTCGTGACCGCACCGCAGACACGATACAAAAGTAAATGCAACATTTTTCGAAATATCAGCTATTCCCCCGTAAGGTCGCAGCTATTTTGTTGCCATTTCTGAACGACC